ATGGATGAACCTGATCTGGCCAAATACTGGGCTCAGCGCTACAGACTCTTCTCTCGCTTCGATGAAGGCATCAAACTAGACAGAGGTCAGTCTGCATCAGTGACTTTTCAAATGGCGCAGCGAAGAAGAGATGCAAAAGAAATGTTTTTTTTTAAGTCTTAATGACACTTTAAAATGATCTGGTCCTACAGGGTAAGTCTAAAGACCGATTTATTGTCTTGTGTTGAAACATATCATGTGGTAATAGCTCTGCTGCAGACTGAGACTGTCTGCTCTGTGCAACATCTCTGTTGTTGCTCATAAACTCCTCTTCAAATGAGGTCTTTCGTCTTTGTTGACAATTACACATCCAGATTTTATGCTGTACCTCAGTGGTGCTTTTGAGGTTAGCGTTTTCTAACTAACCCTCCTGTCTAATTATCTGATGTATACAACACTGTTGTTTGTAAATGTGCCATTTGAACACATTGGACTCGTCTTGACTAAACATCACATTGGCAGACAGTGAAGAAGGGGTGACAGGTAGAGAGGTGAAAATCACCAGGCCTGGAAACAATCCACACCCACTGGTTCAAGAAGCTGACTACCCTGAAACCCTGGCAGCACAAATGAACCATCTGCTGGCAGATGGGACCCACCCTGAGTGACTCACACAAGGACGAACAGTCCTGATCAACAAGGACACTCAGTCAAATGAGGCCCATGGCTCAGTGCACTGGTGAGAGTGAAATCTGTAAAGAATCGCAACAAAGGAGAGAAACAGCAGGGGGCAGTCAGGTGTCTTGAGAGTCGACTCATTCATGCAGGATGACTTGGAATTGTATGAAGACAACGGGACATCCAAAGTCTCCGTCAACAACTATATATTGTAGTCTTATCCAGATGTGGTCCACATGCTAAGGTGCTACACTGTTGGGGCTGCTGCTCTATGTTGGTGTTACTGGTTTCACAGACCATTAAACTCATCCTACTGATCCATACTACTGGGACTTACAGCTGTCACACACCAGACCAACAAACAACTTAAGGAGGTTAAAATCACACCGACAGTTTTCTGCTAACCTGTTGTTGTGTTTGTGTTTGTGTTGCAGAGGGCTGGTTCTCTGTGACTCCAGAGAGAATTGCTGAGCACATCGCCCTCAGACTGCAGCAGAGCTGCTCTGGTTGTCAGCTGGTCATAGACGCCTTCTGCGGCGTCGGAGGGAACGCCATCCAGTTTGCCCTCGCAGGAAGCAGAGGTGGGTGCTCCTCTTGTTAGCCCTTCAGGACCCTTAAAACCCTTTGTGGGTTTTAAGGGAGTTTCTTGTCCTAATGGCTGAGGGTGTGGTTTATGGTCTTTCAACGACTCACTCTCTCTCATGTCCTTTCTTTCAGTTCTGGCCATAGATATTGACCCCATGCGCTTGAACCTGGCGCAGCACAATGCCACAGTTTATGGCGTGGTCGACCAGATTGATTTTGTACAAGGGGATTTCCTTCAGCTGGCTCCGTATCTCCAGGGGGATGTTGTGTTTCTGTCACCACCGTGGGGAGGACCAGACTACCTGACCGCTGAGGTGTTCGACATCAAGACCATGATGGAGCCTGATGGATATCCTTTTATTGATCTATTATTTAAGTCAGGTTGAATACACCAACCATGAAGACCTAAAAAATTATATATTTATAGAGTACTATTTATCAAAATGATTCTTTAATACTTAGTACTTTGTAGAAGGTGTTGCCCTTTTATTGATCGACTATTTTTACCTGCTATGTGTTGTTAATATAAAATAAGTGAATAATTTTGTGGTGTCTGTGCAAATAAGTTTTTCTTTTTCTTTAATAATTGCATACATTTGAGATTTTCCGGCTGGCCAAACTGATATCAGACAACATCATCTACTTCCTGCCTCGCAACGCTGACATGAATCAGGTCTGCATCTTTCTTTCTCTCTGTTAGGTTGTCTGTCATAGTGACAGTTCTGAGTAGGGTTGGGTTGGTGTTACACAGGGATCAGCTCTGAAGCTCTTTGTTTTGTAGAGAATTGAACACTGACCAAACAGCCCGTCTGTCTCTAACTCCTTTGACCACAGGTTGCCTCGTTGGTTGGTGCAGGTGGGAAGTTGGAGGTGGAGCAGAACATTCTCAACAACAAGCTGAAGACGGTGACGGCTTACTTTGGGAATTTAGTTAGAGCAGAAAGTTAGTGACCGTGTAAAGATTTTTCTTTTTTTTTTATAAACCACAATCAGAAATCTGTTGTTTAACAAGTGCAAAGTAAATATTAACATTTTGATCTTTATCATAAACCTATAAGTGTTTTTTAAGAGAAATTATTTTTTATCATGAACTGTTGATAGTTGTTCTTGGTGTTTTGTATCAGTGGAAGAATTAAATATTCCTGTGCTAGTACATTACTGTGTTTACTTTTTTTTTTCCTTTTTTTATTTCCACAGGGAATTAATACACTTAACAACAACAGAATATTTTGAATTCTTAATAATTATATCTGACGTTTCTTCTACCAAAGACAATGTTTGTTTGTTTTTTATTAAACATTAAACAGTGTTTATTAAAAAGCAATTCTGACTGTAAAGTACCCATGTCTGTGTATGTAGAGCGGAACTACAATGTGCGACATGTTTCCACCTTAAAACGCTGCACATAAGTGTGTCACACAGATAGCACTCCGGGTGCAGCTATTCGCTAGCAACTTTATACATTGCCATTTTCTTATAGTTAACGCCGTGTGTTGGCCCAATAGATAGGTGAGGTGTTGAGCCACGCACACTCTCGCCCCTCCTCGTCCCCCCCTCTCCCCATCAGTCAGCTGGGCTTGTTATGGTGGGTTCTGTTCTGTATGTTTTTATCCGTGTTAACGTGGTAACCTGAGTAGGACGGCAGAAAAGCTAGCCTCTATGACATTACAGCAATCATGCAATAATTGTAGCAAACAGACAGGATGTCTTGGCTGGTAAGTAATACAGATTTTTTCTAATATCTAGGTTATACCGTCAGCAAATAAGGGTCTCTTTTAAATGACAATTAAAACAGACGTTAATACCTAGTAATTTACTCCGTGTGTTATTGTTCTGTGGGGTAAACTTCCTGACTAGCAGCAGGTTGAAACTAACCGCAGAGCAGGATGTCATACTGAAACCCAGTCCTGTTTGACAGCAGAGGAATTCGTCTCTTTTCATGTGTAAATCGACATTTTCGTGAAATGCAAAAGAAATGTAAAGGAACCGAATCTAGAAATGCCCTAATTTTTTAGGAGAGGGAACTTTTTAATGACACCACAACGCAAACGTATGAGTTCGTGCACTTTAAACATTTCTGGAAGTTTTGCAGCAGCCGTAATGTTCTTTTCTGAAAGGCAAATGTTTCGCCTTTGAGAAGCAGCAATAATGATTAAATGCTTCGAAGAAAAGTCTGATTCATTCGTCGACATTCATGGTCACGTGATTCTTTTCTTTTTTTTCTGACGAAGTTCATTCTACAGGACAGATTGTTATTTTGCCAGATGATCTTTGCGTTTTTATATATAAACAAAGAAAGGTTTATATATGTCACCGGCAACCTCTGAATCCGATGTGGGTTCTTTTCTTGGTCCACAGGGGGGTGTCTTCCAGGCTGTGGAGGAGTGGGCAGGTCTCGGACAGTTGGAGGACTACCTAAGTTTTTTAGAGTACCTGCTGTGGGTCTTCACTCCTCTGGCCATTGTCTTCATTGTGCCATTCCTCATCGTCATCCTGCTGTACCTGTCCATACTCTTCCTCCACGTATATAAGGTTTGCACTTTTTATTTCAAACTTAATGACAAAATACAAAAGGTTTTAATCATCTGAAATTTCATATTGCTAACTGGACTGTCCAAGCATAAGGTTTTTAAGTACTTGATGGAGACTATTATTATTATTATTATTATTATGCAGTAATAAAAGTAAACTCAGCAGTATCTACCTGTGATTGGTTCAAATCTCTGCTGGTGCTATTTAGTTTAGAAACCCTGACCATCACCAAAGTCCAGTTGTAATGGCTATGTGTGTGGAGGGACGGGGGAGGTCTGGATCAATAGAAAGCTCATGTTTGCTGATGTAACCCTGTGACAGAGGAAGAATCAACTGAGGGAAGCTTACAGCAACAACCTGTGGGATGGAGCCAGGAAGACATTGGCCTCGCTGTGGGATGGACATGGAGCCATATGGCATGGTACAGATTTATTATGAAAATAGAGACTCACTGACAGATGGGTTAATCTTAGACGGTGTCTTAAACAGTTGTTGAGCTGTGTGTACCATGTGTAGTTGGCAGATAGTACCATCCAGAGGCAGATTGACTGCAACTAGACTGATTTGTCAATCCCTGCCTTTGATTAATGGTGTGACAAGTCTTTCAAGGCTTTAGAAGAGTATCAATAGGAAGTCTAGTTGACTTTATATCTGTTGTGTAACCTAACATGTCATTCACTCTTCAGGCTACGAGATCCATGGACTGGAGAAGATCCCAGACCAAGGGCCGGCCCTCATTGTCTACTACCATGGTGCCATTCCCATTGACTATTATTACTTCCTGGCAAACCTGATCCTCCAGAAGGGACGGACGTGTCACTCTGTGGCTGATCACTTGCTCTTCAAAATTCCAGGTACAAGTATGGTTTGAAATACATACGCTGTTATACTTTGTAAATTACTACTGTATGTCTTCACATTGTTTGCACTGTGAATTCATACTGTATGTCTTCACATTGTTTGCACTTAAGAAGAATTCAAATTGTTAACGTGAATTCTGAAATAAACCCTGATAAATACTGTATATGAAATTTGAACATACATTTGTACATATATGAATATATTTGTATTTTGATGCTGCTTTATGAACTTTATGTTCAATTCCTCTTCTGAATCATCTCCTGTTTTGTTTTGTTTTTTTCAGGGTTCAAGTTACTTCTTGAAGTGTTCAGTGTGATTCATGGTCCTCAGGAGGAGTGTGTGCGGGCTCTGAGGAACGGTCATTTGTTGGGGATTTCTCCAGGAGGTGTGCGAGAGGCTCTTTTCAGCGACGAGACTTATCCTCTCTTCTGGGGCAAACGAAGGGGCTTTGCCCAAGTCGCCATAGACTCACAAGTGGTGGGTCACCTTTAGAGATTCATAAGAACTGCTTTTCTTTTTAAACTTAAACTTACACAACCCTTCCTGCTCTTGTTGTTTCAAAATGTGTTTTTCAGCCAGTTATTCCAATGTTTACTCAAAATGTGCGTGAAGGCTTCCGGTCCCTGGGGAGACTCAGTAAGTGACACGCTAACATATATAACCAACAATGTTGAAATGACACTGTGGTGGGTTTTGTTTTTTTTTTTTTTTAAAAACATACTAATTTTTTATTGTTGTAAATTAGGATGTATTAATGTTGCACAGTGAAAGTGTAAGCAATGTTTTTTTACAAAAACAGTTACTTATGTATTATTTACTGATATATCTTCCATGACAAAACAATAACCTGAATGAGGATCACACTCTGTTGTTTCACTTCTTCTACTGGCTTGACTCTGTTTGTTGTTGTCTCAGGATTTTACCGCTGGCTCTACGAGAGGTTCGGTCTTCCCGTGGCTCCCATCTATGGTGGATTTCCTGTGAAATTCCGGACATTCCTGGGAGATCCCATACCATATGACCCCAACATAAATGCGACAGAACTGGCAGAGAAGGTGTGTGCTTCTTTTACTGTCTGGCTCTCTTTTTTTTTGTTCTTACACCTAAGGTAGTGACTAACTTAGTGTTTGCTCTGCAGGTGCAGCAGGCGGTCCAGGCCCTGATAAACCAGCACCAACAGATTCCAGGAAACATCCTGAGAGCCTTGTTGGAGAGATTCCACACCACGCACAAAGATCAGTAACACGAGCAGACCACGTGATGACATCACTGTAGTCCACTGCAGTCAGTGTGAAGAGCTCTGGAGTATTTCTTCACTGATTATTTATGTGAGGAGAGTATATATGTATCTATATATATATATTTTTTTTTTAAAGTGCATGTTTTTAACATGTCTTTGTGCATTCCTTTTGAATTTTAACTGATATTTGGTTGTTCACAGGATCAAACTTGAATGTTCTGATATTTGACTTGACATTATGGTAACCCACACATGACACGTGGTACAAAAAAAAAAATCAGTCCAACTTGTTCCCCTATTTCCTGTCATCTCTGAATTTAAAGTTCACACACACACACATCATCCTGTGTGTGTCACAGTATAATTGGTTGTTGATATACAGTATATTGTTCTCATTTGTATAAACAGTTTATTTATTGAAAAGTTTATTTGGTAAGATAATGAAATATATTTTTGTCCACATAAATAAAATGGTCTGAAAGCCCAGTGCAGGAATTAACTGACTGAAGTGAACATTATAGTTCATTGCACAGGAGTCAGAGGAAGGACACAGTGTAGATAATATTAACCTGAATATAAACCTTCTTTATATAGTCTTGCTTCTCTTGAATGAAATAAATTAAATTAAGTAATTGGTTTGAAGCATTTTTCCTGTTTGTTGTTTACACCATATACATACATACATACATATATATATATATATATATATATATGTATCAAACTTTGTCATTTGCCATAGGAAATCAGCACAGAACACAGGACATGGGTAAAATTGTGCCTTTAGTTGTCACTGATAATAACAAGCGTATTACACTTGAGATGTTTTTCTTCAAACACCACACACGCAAACACCTTATCACTTTAATGTCATCAGTCTCTTCGTAATTAAAAAATAGTTTTTAAAAAAAGGAATAAAGTTAACAAGGAGAAGAAAGTTAGTGTTCCTGCACGTCCTTCACCGTCCAATCACTTCGTACTCCTCTGCTCAGACCCTTCACGTGGTTCCAATCACTTCGTACTCCTCTGCTCAGTCCTCACTGACCCTTCACGTGGCCTAGTGGAGCAGTCACAAATGAGTTTTTCCTTGGCAATGTGTGTAAGTGTGAAGTTTAAAAACAATGACCTTGTTTCTCTTCTCCCTCCTCTCACCCACTGTCCTCCAGTGCAGCCAAGACAGGTTGATGTTATCGCAATAGAACACGCTGACGTCATGACTCAACGTTGTCTAATGATTCATTGCTCTTCCCACTCTATCTGATGCCCTTGTTGAGCACCGAATTATCTTTGCATTAAAGGTTAGTCTTTCATTCATGCATCTTCTACCACGTCATCCTCGTCTGGGCCACTGGGGGGAGCTGGAGGCATTCCTAGCAGTCACTGGTTGCGGACAGAGAACACCCTGGGTAATTCACCGGTCCATCACAGGGCCACATTTAGAAACACACAACCATTTAAATTCACATTTACTACTGTAGTAGTTCCCAAATTAACACTTAATTTAATCCTGCATGTTGTGGAGTCGGTAGAACCAGTAAATTCCAGGGCATGGTGTGAGGCAACTTTTGCAGTGAGGTAAAATTACTAACCTCTCACAGCTGTGACCCAATCTAATTAACGAATATTAACTAAGCTTTCATTTCAGGTCAATTTAATTGAAAAGTAATGCAACCTAAAGGGCGAGGGACCCATCCTGGATCACTGAGGTTTCACTTAGTTTCACATGATCTAACTAAGGAAGATATACAAGGGTAAGTCAAAAAGTTCTGAGACAGATTTGGGAAGGTGAGTGTTTTTATTAGCTAAAACGTAACAGCTTTGACTGGTTTTCACATCTTTGTGGAGCTTTGACCTGTGTTTTGTTTTATTTGGTCAGGTTTTTAATCCTTTAAAAATGAACTTTTTTTTAATCCAAACTTGAATGGAAACCTTTTAAGATTGTCTAAGAGTTTAAACTTAATTGAAGGATATCTAACTTTTAAAATAAATTTGTCTTAGAACGTTTTGACTTACCATTGTATTTAGGGAATTTGTTTGGCACAAGTATCACATTGTACATCAAAATGATATACAGACGTAGATGTTCCTGTTGTGGCTTCCACTATGAAGAACACCAACATAGTTATTCCATTATTTATCAGCACAGCCGATAGGGTTTTGGTGTCCTACAAATAATGGATTCAAATGTAACAGGTTTTATTGCCACAGTTCCTGCTGCTGTTTCTGTGATGTCTCTTACTGCAAGACACAACTATAAGGTGGTCTCATATTCTAGCCTCTCCTGACCAAGAGAGTCGTGCTTCTACTGCAGCATTATACTGCAGCCTGGGGGGAGTGAGGGAGCAGTCTACGGCCAGGATGGCCTTTCGTATACTGCGGTCAAGGACATGGCGTTCCCAGGCTGGGTAGTGGTTTCTACAAAGATCAATCTTGATGACAGTCTCTTCCAGGCGTGGAGCACTAGACGATGAGGTTGATGGCACTGTGTGTCGGACCTGAAACACTGGCATGCAGCTGTCCCGCTCGGAGTATTTGCCCATGTCGCGCTCCAGAGTTTTGGTGGCACCTCGGTTGGACTGCAGCGAATTGGTGTGACCTTCTGATGGTAGTGTGGCGAACTGGGCAGTGAGGTCCAGATCAAGGTCTTGGCTGCTGGGTGAGTGCCCGAAGCGTGGCCCGTTGGCATGAAAAAAGGCATAGTACATTAGCATGAAAACCACTCCAGTGAGGAAACTGCTGAAGATAACGCAGAGCGCTGGAACTGCAAAGGCATCGGTTGCAGATGGTGTCCGGTAAAGATACCACAGTGTACTGAGGGCTGTGTTCTCCGCCAGGATCATCAGGTAGTAGATGAAAAGTTGGCACCTAAGGAAACACACGAGACAGGATTAGAACACACAGAATTGGACCAAGTGCCCTCCGGATCAGATCCCTTCTTTTTCTAAGTCACAATGGTTAGATGCTACCATCTAGCCAATGAACAGGAACAGCAGTGATTTAAATCCAAACAAAGGCAACATGTTCCCAGAGTTAGAGTGAGTTTGTGTCACACAAACTGTTTACCTTGTCCTTCCCTCTTTGACGTTAAACCAGGAAAAGATGTAGATTATTCCCACCACCATGTCAAACACAATCTCCTCCCACTTGCTGATGCAGAAGTCCGTCTCACAGTGGACAATCCAGAAAGTCATTATACACCAGTGCAGGACGATGAAGATGCCAAAGTAGAGCTGGAACACCGAGGCGAACAGGGCGAATGTGATAACCCTGGCTGCGATGGTGAAAAAATGCCAGCAGAACTGGATGATGACCGCCAGATAGCTGATGGGCTTCTTGTCATCCCGAGACTTTCGCAGAGCTTTCTGGTAGGAGGCCAGAGCCCAGGCCAGAGACACAAGGGAGGCTGCTGCAGTCATGCCTGCAAAAACACACATAAACAAGGTTAATGCAAAAGTCCTAGGACAACTATTTAAATATATATATATATGTATATATGTGTGTGTATATGTGCTTATGTGTGTGTGTTACCTTGGACAGCCTGCAGCTTGTATGTCTGTATGATGATGCACAGCTGCAGCACCAGTTGAGGAGCACTCTCCAGAAAGGTGGCGAGCAAATGCAGCATGCTCACATCTGCAAACTCATACACCATCCTCAGGTGGTAACGCCAGCGCTCCGTCTCTCCACTCTGACGACTCCGTATTCCCAGGTAGATGGTGTGGAAATACCTGGGGGAAGTTATATGGTCAGTTGATGGTTTTACTAAATATTTCCTCCCTTACATTTGTATTGTACTGTATGATATCATTAAAAGTGAAATAGGCGATAAAGCATGGAGCTCTATATATAAGTCAAACAGACTGTAGAGCATCGTAAAAGCAATGGAACCGTTCTTATTGGACTGATATATGAGCTTTGCATCTTTACTACTGTATGAATAATGTGCAATGTCATTTTTCATTCAGGTTTGTTGAATTTGAGAAAAATGTAACGTGAGAGTGTGTGTGGACTGTAAGGTATAACATCATAGCAGCTGGAGGCAATGGTGTTGGATCTGACATCACTAGGGTGATGTCAGTGAAGACTCATTCATTCATTCATTCATTCATTCATTCATTCATTCATTCATTCCTATCCAAACACAATAGTTCGCACCTATTTCTAATAAAATCCAGTTGTTGTTTTTTTGTATACTGACCCAATCAGAACCTCCCATTACCTGACCTTTCCTGAATCACAAATGACCTATGTTAAAAAGACCCTAAGGTTTGGTCCCTTCTATTCTGAACCGGACAAAGAACATGATTTTATGTTGAAAACCATCACTCCCTCTTACCTCCATATCTGGCCCAGTTGGAGGATGTGAAGGACCGACTGGCTGAACCACACGCAGAAAGTGTAGTAAGGAGAGCTTTTCTTGCCCCTGTTGCCCAGCGCGGTAATCGCAGGGCTGTTGCTGGCGGTGTTCTTGCTGGCGGTCGACGCCTGTCTTTGCGGCGTGGCCGGCTGCTGCTGCTGCGAGCTGATGTCGCCGTGAGAGGCGAAGGCGCTCAGCAGCGTGTTGCCATCAGCGGCCGTGGCGCTGTCCTCGGTGCTGATGTCATGCACAAACCATCTGAAGCTGAAGAGCTGCACAGAAAACGAACCCAGCACCACGAAGAAGAGAGTCAGGCCGAACCACCAGTACTCGCGGCGGAGGTAGTAATCCACCGACAGCCACACGTCAGTGCATATGTCGGCCACATACACGGCCACTGCGGCTATGATCCACAGACAGTCCCACACCGTGTACCGCTGCTGCTCCCTGCCCAAGCGAAGACACATCGTGCTTCTCCGTCCGCCACTGCTGCCGCCGCAGAACCGCGACTCTCCGTTGGTAAAGTCACCATCCCCGGTGCCCAGAGAGTCGGATGGGCCGCCAGGGTGGAGCCCCTGCACCGAACCACAATGTTCCGAGTTCTGCAGCGGGGTGAAGGCCACGTCGCTCTTCTTCATCTTCAGAACCCCGTCCGATTTAGCAGCCATTACTAGAAGAGTGTAGTATTAAATTACCCTCCAGTGTTCTCTTCTCTTCTGCTGACACCCTTCTCCTCCGCTCCTCCTCCTTCCTTTCTGGGCAGTAACAGCTCCTCTACACTGCCGCCTGCTCATACTACACTACAGTGCTCTGCTGTTCCGTCCATGTCACATTTAACTGGGCTCATTAGACTGGTCATCCACTCACATGATGTCAGCATCAGATGCTTCTTTCTTGTTTCATTTCATCTTAGACGCTGTCGCTCCAGGCTCGACGACGCCTGATGCACAGGCTGGAGACAAAAAGAGGAGACAAGGAGACGGTGGAAGGCTGCATCGATCTGCCCTCTCTGTAGAACAGAGCGAAAACGATGACATCACACCGCTCCCCTGTCTTTTTCTCCCTCTGTCGGCGAGTGGAGGCTTACAAAAATTTAAATAGCCCCCTCTCCCCACCACCCACCACTCCCTCTGACCTGTCAGTGAACATGGATACTGTCAGAACCCAGGTGGTGCTGAAGTTCTGCTTTGGACATATTTCAGGTCGTATGTTAACTGTCATTGTGCTGTATGTATCTTAGATACAAACATTGAAAACCATATTGATGTGACTATTCGCAGTGAACAGCGTCGAGCTTGTAACACGAGTAATAACAGGAAATTTCCTTGGAACCCAAACGTCTTGTATAAATCATTAAGATTGATTTCGCCCATTTTAATTTTGAATATTCTCTTCGGTTAATGGTGTTCAAACTATGGCACATCCACTACTGTTTGTCCTTGGGCTCCCTCTAGTGGTATGCGAGGAAACCTGATTCCTGATTAGATTACATTGCATTACAATACATTTAGCAGACGCCTATTAGATGAATAAACTCTCTTATAATATCTTTTGCCTGCTGGGCGTGTGTGTGTGTGTGTGTAAGATTTTACACACAGATGTGTGTAGACCATGTGTAAGATTTGTGCAGGATTTTACAGGATAGCTGTGTGCTGTAGTATTTTAATGTTTTTTAATTGTCATTTTTTAAATTTTGATTTCTCAAAAAGCCGAAAAGTAGTTAAAAAAGACCAACAAACACTTTCTTATTGAATTTTCAAAAAGTTTATTAAGATACCAAGATCTATTTTATTGTTTCAGGTGCCCTACTTCCGGTCTCATACTATTGGCTCTTCCTGGATACTGCGCATGTGCAGAACGGATCCAGGAAGACGCGAGGAAATCAAACCCATGGCGCCGCGATTCAACGATTCAAACCAACACCTAATGTGAGAACGAAACTGCAACGTAGGATTTAGCCCACGGCTAACATGTCAGCCCTGAGTGGACTGGTAATGGAGTGAGAAATGACAGTCCTCGCTACAGAGATGTGAGTATTAAACTGTCTAAATGACAAAACGCCTTCAATGTTTATTTTTTTTAAAAGCATTTACTTGAAAAAATGTTCCTTGACATTACTTTACTACAACGAGAAACGTCCTCTTCGAAAACAAAACAAATGAAAAAGTGTTTAATACAAACCAACGTGTTCTGTATTCATTCTTGATACTGTTCGTCCCTGTTTCACCACAAACAATTTGAACACAAATCTTGTCTTTTCATCTTTATTTCTTCATGGCATTCCTTAGAGCAAGGCAACAGTGGAGTGATAACAAAGGTGTTGTTATGTTCGCACATGTCGCTGTCATGACGTCAGCAGGACGTATTACCTGTAATGTAAGTGCACTAGCTAAACAAATAGCGTCTATTGGAGACAGTGCAGTATGTGAATATACCGTGTCAGCAGTTGTACAGTCTGAAAGACTGTCTTTATGAGTGTAAGTGTGGGGAAATCCTGTTAGTCTCACACTGACAGAATTCATTGTAGATTATGAACATTGTTATATATAAATGACGCCTTCAGTTTTTGCGTGGCACCTTGTCCCCCAGTGGTACTTCATCCATTAGTTTCTGTAAAGAGAACACAGAGGGAGGAGTGTTCACACTGTATTATTTATCCTATGAATAATTACAACAGTAAAGAGAACACAGAGGGAGGAGTGTTATTTATCCTATGAATAATTACAACCGTTTTTTCAGATGTGATGTAAAATAATTTGAGATCCAGTTTTCTTAGTGAATGTGACTTCTAAAGTTCCACACACACACACACACACACCTCCAGCAGTCTGCTGTAGAATGTGAAGCTGTCCTCTGCATCACAGTGGCTGTCGTCCACCTTGTATCTCTTGCAAGCCAGCAGTAGCTCAGCGGAGCTGTAGAGGGGGGCGGGGTCAATCGAGTGGCTGTTGATCAGGCTGACCAGGTACTCTCGGTAATGTTTCCTACACCAGAAGACCACACAGTTTGTGTGTTGACAGTGCTGTGCTGTAGCTAAACATCAGGTTTCACCTCTAGATGACACTGAAATTCCCCTGAAAATTGAATGATACAACAAACAATGGTTTTCGTTATCCGAAAAAGGTTTTCGTACTCGCACAGTCCAGCGTGTCCATCCTGGGTCTGAGTTCCACAGGCAGCGTCTGGCTGCTGCCCTTCCTCGTCCTTCTGCTCTATCACCCCACACAGGCCTAAACACAAACAGAGAAGTGCAGACAAAATACCAACTGGAACTTGCTGTTTAAATTATTGCTGTAATAATTAAGCGATTATAAAATAATTATGAATAATTAATCATTATATATTATTAATAATTAATTATTATATATTAATAATTATAATAATGAATTATAGATCAATTAGTAAAATAATTTTAAATAACAGCAGTTGGTGACAAACCTGTTTGTGTTCCGGGGGAAGGTTCAGTATTAAATGCCACATTGTTACTCTGTGAATAAAGAATGACAAGAGTTAGACTGTTGTACGATCGATGTTTACGGTTTAACTGTTATTCTCAGGCGTTGATTTGTAGACCATAACGACACGCAGCGTACAGCGGCAGGCTGGACTTTTATATGTTGTAAGATCTGAACAAGAAAATACATTCTTGTTGAAGAAAAGAGAAGAAGACTGTTGTTAGTAGGTCGACGTAGCTCCTTAATTATTTCAGTGTCTGGACTTGTTTGTGGTTTACCTGCAGTAAAGCCTGCAGTCTGGAAGGTTCCCAGTCCCTCAGGTAGAAGAGACAGTCTCTCGGATGGTGGGCATGTAGTCCTGACACACTGCATTCATCCACCGCACATGTCTGATGTGGACATGACAATGACACCGTGACATTAAACACCAGAGTCAATTTATCCTTTTAACATGCTAAGATATAAGCACAGAGGAGAGCAAATCATTTAGCATTTTAGCATTATTATTATTATTATTATTATTTGCATTTCTTGTTGCCATGAAGACTGAGGATTAGGAGTAAAATCTGTTGGAGACTTACAGTGTGAAAAGGGTTGTTGCAGCCGCTGCAGAACTGGTAACGACACTGTGAGCAGCAGAAGTGCATGCAGCCTCCCTTAGACAGTGCATACTGGAAACGGCAGTTAGGACACGCTGCAGAGTTGAGGACAGGGTGGACAAATGGAGAACATTTTGGATGTAGTAGGACACAAATTGGGTGTGACTCTGAAGGCAGCCAGGTAGAAGTGAAACACTCCCCCCTGGTGGATATGTTGCCTTATAACCATGTCGATGTAAAACATGCATGTACAATGTAGTATGTGAGCAGTGACGTTGGTACAGACGTTTTTATTTAGATATATTGTCACGTGTTCCTGCTCACTGATGCCGTTGTCTCGGAGGTATCCAGCTAGACCCTGCTTCTGGTATTCCGGGTCGTTCTCTCTCTTCCATGACTGGTACTGTTCACATGACAGACCTGCATGCTGAGACTCCCACTGGTGGAGGAAATATAAGACGTGAGAACGGTCTTTAATCCAACACCCATGTCATTAAATTTACATTATTCTAAAATGTAAAAGTGAAATATTGACAATATTTTTTAAATGACTACGTTTAATTTGACTTTTAAAATTCCCCCATTGGAACTTGGAAATATATCTGTAATAAGCAGAATCCTCCTGACCCTCCCCTCCAAACATTTTGATTTTTATTATTAGGTGATTTGTTGGTCATTGTTCATCTGTTAGTCTCACACTGTACTTACAGGCTTTTTACATTGGGCACAAAAACTGTTGTGACACTGTAAACAGGTGACCTTCAGTTGCTCTCCATCATAGATGAACCATTATGAACACTATGAGAGGAAACAGGAAACAGTACAGCGTTACTATGAGGCCTGACTGTTATGTAGTGCAGCATTATCAGATGTGATATTCTGTAAGGACCGGTCTAACAGTGACCTGTAGGTAACTCACATGGCAGCACCAGAGAAACTTTGGGTCTTTGATGAGAGCCTGTTCTGTCAGCTTCTTGTGGAACAGCTCGTAGACCTCTGGCTCAAGACACTCCCGCAGCTGAAGCACAGAATAAGTAACATTAATAAGCACAAATAAATAATTCACTGCCTGACTCTCAGGGACTCTCAAGGGCCTTGAAGCGTTCTTAAGATTCAGAGGTGCAATATACTGTAAACAGGTGTGTCTGATGTTCAGCCTCCGCTGTTTACTGACAACTGTTTAATATATATTTAATGGTGGAGTAAACAAAAAAAAATCAATGTGTGTTTCTGGGAGTCTTCTAGTCTTTTTTTTAGACATTTTTTCATTTTATGGTGAAACACTTTTAAAGTTATGGTAGAACCTCGCTCTTTCTCATGTGCGTAAAAAGTAGAAGCTAACTCTGCTTTGGTAAAAAAAAAACAACTTGTGATTAGCAGTGTCATATCATCAAGGCAGCTTTCCTGTATGTCCAAGGTGGAGAAGTAGCTGTTCAGGTGCTCAGGGTCATTGATGTTGGGCTCCCAGCAGACTGGACACACCATGTCACGAATGTGTTTGTCCCTCACAGCAATGGTAAAGTGCTGCTGAAAGCAACTACAGCACACTGAGCACTGGCATGAGGTCAGGGACTGCATCTGTAATGAGCAGGGGAAGGGTAAAAACAACAACAACAAAGGACATTCATGGGAGGGTGGTTCTGTGGTCCAATTCTGTCTTTACCTTGCTGTGGGGGAAGACAGACAGACATATGGGACACTCCTTAGCCAACACTCTCTTGATAAACTCCCTGTCGTGGGACTCGCGCACAGCCTGCACCACATCCTCCAGGGAGTAGGGAGCACTGTGTTCCAGGAGTAGGGATAGAGCCAGCTCACAGCGACCCCAGCTGGGTAGATCATACACTGCTAGCAGTCTTCGGCATATGGACTGGAAGAGACGGAATTACAAGTAGGAAGTGGAGGTCACATATATGAGGGACATATGAACACCAACAACGTGTATGTGTATGTGTGTATGCGCCGGCTGACCTGTTTATCTGGGTGGTAGATGTCAACAGGAGGCTCGGGCTCTTCACTCCAGATTTGACTATGGAATGGTTGCAGCAGAGGGCGCTGTAGCAGGACCAAGGCCCCTCTGACATCACCACCACTTTGTCTCAGCATATCATGGCAGCGACTCTTGTCACTGAAGCCCAGGGCACACAGCTCCTTCACCTGAGACACACCGCCATCCCTTCCTCAAATTAGTATCGTTATTATCGTGTTATATGGTTTGTATGGGTTTCGTCTGTCACCTTAGCAAGTCTTTCTCTCAGGGCCTGTCTGGCTGCTCTTTCAGTGTCGCCCCCTGCTGTCAGCCATGCTTTCTTGGCCTCTGCTCTTGACAACTGGATCACGTTTTCAGCTTCTGGAAGGCACTCTTCTTTCTCAGCATCCTCAGCTGTGGTTTCACACGGTCTGCTCTGTGTTAGGGCCAATTAATAGACGTTGTCAGTCTGTTTTATCATGTAGACCACATTCCATACATTCTAATTTTACCTTAAACTTTTCAAGCTTAAGGTTTGGTCCCTCTCTAACTGACTTGACTTGATGCTGTGTTTACATTTACCAGAATAAAATCGTACTTTTTAATGTTTAAAAATGCCATGTCCAGTGTACCATGATAGGAATAATGTTTATTTTATGCTGCGTTACATGAGAAAAGTTTTAATCCACATGATTTCATGTTTCATAAATGGCTGGCAGTGTGGCTACAGCCTTTCTTACTTTTTGCTCAATTGTGATCTTGTCAGACTGAAGGGAGGACGTCGCCACCAGCATCCTGATCTGGTCCAGGAGCAAAGGGAGTTCTGTTTTAAACCACTTGCCTGGCAGCGTGCCACTGTCTCCAGCTACTCTCAGACTTGTGTACACCTCCTCTGGACTGACTCCTTTCTTCTCCCCATCCTAACGCCAACAAAAGAGCAAAAACTGAAATGTTTAAAACGCCACATTGACGACAGTGTTTGTTACAGATAGAAAGAGATTGAGGTGAAGTACCCTGATCATCTCAATCAGCTTGAGCCCCTCCTCCTTCATCAGCTTCTGCCTCCAGAAGTCCAGGTCCTCTGGAGTGGGCCCCTTTGGTTTGATTGGCAGAGCGGGGACTCGTCTTACAGGAGAGGGAGGGCGAAACTTCACCGGCAGAGGAGCGGGCTCCGGACGAGCCAGGTCACACATGTCACATGCTGTAGCAGGGGAGTAGTTCAGATAGGTGCAGAACTGACACACCCACTGGAGGGGGAGGAAGAGAGAAGTGGGAGGTAGATACAGTCAATGCTTCATGCTGTTTATTTTACAATAAATTAAAGTCTACACCCAACAAACCTGGCTGTCGGGGTCACCAGGCATGCCCAGTACTGGGGCCGGTGGTCTTGGAGGGGTGACTGGGGAGTGTGAGGGGGTGGTCGGAGGTTTTGTTGCCAAGCGAGGTCTTTCACACACCTCACACAGAATACTGCTGGCAGCGTTCACCAGGGTGCAGCTCTTACATTGCCACTCTGAGAAAAAGGAGAGGGAGCGATGACCTGGGTGTAACCCACCCCGGTATATACACATGAGGGGGCGGGGGGTATAATTAGGAGACAGCACTGACCAGAGATGGTGGACGACTGGGATTCATCCTCATTGGAGTTGACAGAGCTTGAGCGAGGGCGCTCACACTCCTTACACTGCACATTCTGGATGGAGTTGACTTTGGTGCAGTGAAGGCAGCACCATGTGGAGGAACTGCAACAGAGAGAAGTCACTGTTACTGCAGGTGTTGTGCTCTTCACACACTGTTTACCTGACCAGATACGTTTGTCCTGACCTGTTGCAGCTCCTGTTTCTGGACGAGGATGACGACGATGAGGAGGAGGAGGAGGTGAAGGCAGTGCGATGGTGGTTGGCCCTCTCTGGGGAGGAGTGATACAGTCGGTCACATTCTGAGCAGAAGCCCTGGAGGCAGGTGAGGCAGTGGGCAGACATCCTGAATATTCCACAAACGGAGCAGTTCTCTGAAACACGGTAAATATATATTTTTATAGAATACAACATTTTGTATGTGCCTATGTAGAGGGTTTTTGGTCATTAATTCTAGGTGTGTCTAGCGTTAAGAATTGTTAGATCTGCAGAATAAACTGTACTTTGTCACAGTTTATTCAGCAGATCGAACAATCCATCAGAGACTAAATCTTAGTGCTGCTGTCTTAGAAATAAAGCAGTGAGTTGTCAGCATAACATTGTTACTTTTTCTGTTTTCAATGGGACTATAAAGCCACACAGCTGAGAAATGTCTTTTACTCTAGTCTTTGGTCATTTAACACCTATGCAGTTTTTTGTTTTAAATGCAGTCTGCTTTATTTTTCTTGAAGTACAAAGTAGTAACTTTGTGTAGTGATTATTAGTAGATTGTTATGAATGTGTATCCTGCTACTGTTAGTGTTTTTTTTTAAGTTCACAAATGTTGTGGTAAATATTCCGGTGTCTAAGTCACTCATATTTCGGTTATTTATAACAACAGAAAAATCTGAATTTAAAACCAGCCGACTTTGAATGTAAGCACTGGCCTCTGTCTCACCTGAGTTCTTGCTCGAGGAGCTGGACCTCTGGCTGTGGTGACTGGAGGACAACGAGTGTCCGTGACTGCCGTCTCTGACGGAGTGATGCAGTGGGAAGGCCAGAGACTTACTCTGACTGTTAGAGTGGCGGGAGTTTGGGGAGGTTTGGTAGAGCACAGCGTCAGTGTTCAGACCTACATCCTTAGATAAACAGTAAGAACAGAACAACACAGTAATGTGGTGAAACAACATTCATTTGTCAACATTTTTTTCTACCAGCAACTATTTTATTTTGCAGTAATAACGAGTGTGTAGTTGTTGGTGTTAGTGTTGGCAATGTCTCTGCAACCACATGACGATGACATCACTATAGCACAGACATAATGACGTGATGGACTGTACCTTGTGTCTCAGAGTTGGAATGATCCTCTCATAGAAGTCAGGGTGAGGGTGAGTCTCCTGAGACGAAGTCACATGACCCATGGTTATTGTTACTGATACATTTACAATCTGCTCAGCAAGGTACACTGTTTAATTGTAATTGTAGTTTTGCAGTACAATATGCAAACAAATGCATCAGGTTACAGTACACAGTGTATAAAGCTCCATTCAACACTGACACACCTTGATCAGCATCTCTAGCTCCAGCCTCAGACTCATCACTTCCAGTGTTACTGCAGCAACTCGGCCCACATCAGGATCAGTGGCATCATCAGGGAAGCTGAGCCCATCTGGCTGCTGATTAGAGTAACCATAGAGACACAGCACTGCTCGTCCTCCCTGCAAGTGAGCAGCGCAAAGAGGAATTTTTACTAAAACCTTAAGCTAGAAAAGAGAGCAGCAAAGGATTCAAAAGATGGATGAAGTATGGGGATAGGATCTTTGGTTACAACTGGACAGCCGCGTCTTTTATGCGGTCTGTGTTTGTCACCTACTGGTTTACTGAACAGCACTATTAACTTTACTGTGATTTACCTGAATAGCATCAACAGTGGCTCTGAAAACTGGGTTGTTGTGTTTGACAGTCCTCCAGTATTTGGGTCTGTTGGGGTTCGTCAGGTTGCATCCGTACTTTTCCAGAATATTCAGTGCAGTAGACAATCGCTGAAGAGATGCAAGGGTCTAACAATCAGAACAACACAGAATGTCAGTCAGAAAAAACGTACACTGTACACAGTACAACCCCCTTCACTGACCTCAGACCAGTTACTGTATTTGTGTGAAATCTGTTAGGTCTGGATGCTGAGCTGTACACCTATGTTTACTTTTGTTTAGCAGTATTTTCTCCATGTGATAATCTAGTCCTTGTTACTGAAGTGTTTACTGGATACTCTGTGTTGATTGTGTACTTGGTTACCTCCTTCCTGTTGCTGCCAGAGCTGTTTTCTATGACCATGGTCTCTGCAGAGACATGTTGGTATTTAGAGCAGGGCGGTAGAGGCAGGACAGCCATAGCCATCACCCTGGCCCTGACATCCACCACCCGGCCCCCTGAGTACAGGCACACTTCAGCCTGACTCCTCACTTCCTGCAGCTGCTCTGACAGAGATGGAATACTACACACAGAAACAAGAGATTTACACACAGTGGTTTTAAAAAATATACATGTCATAAAGTGAGGGGTAAGGAAAGATAAATATAATAACAAAAATGAATTACAGTAAATAATATTACTGCAATTAATTAAATGTTAATTGAACACGTTTTTACTACTGCACTTTGTAAAAGAACATACGGTAATTATCCTAGTTGTACTTTGATTTGGCCAATCAACGTTTCACGTGGCGACGTACAACGTAAACAAAGATTAGCACGCTGTTCTTTAGGTTAAATCGAGCTATAGGCTATAACAAACAATGACTATAAAAATATGATTAAATATAATTATTCTAAGACACGTCATGATGCAAATCCAGTCCGTACAATGCGTTAAATGTCATTGGAGGCTGCTGCACGACACGGCTGTCACACAGCCTGCAACAGAGATGGAAGGGCGCCCCCTCCACGTGACTTGTCATAAAAAAAAAAATAACATCAGAAAACCCGCATATAATAGCATTAAGAAATAAGCGTCCGTTTTGGAGTCCAGCCTGTACCACCCCACGACAACAAGCCCCCTCCCCGCCCCCGGGCAGTTGCGCACATCGTCTATATGACAAACCTGCGCTGCTGTTTATGCTGCAGTTCTTACCTTTGCGACATAGTGAAAGCGGTGACATCTGCAGATGTTTTCAACCATGGAAATGCAGTGTCTGTCAGTGACATAAAATCATGTACAACAACGGCGTTAGCGCACAGCAATTTCTCTCTCCCTCCATCCCCCCCCCCCTCTCTTTCTCATTCTGAAATAATACTAACCATAAACTGTAAAATGATGTTCAAGTTACATATTCCATAGACGTTCACTCGTCACAGCAGCGACCCTTCCTCCAATATCTTGCAGCCTTTTCTGCTCGGTTGCGGGCGCTTTATTTCCCATGATTCTGTATTGACAAGAGAGGCTTTATTTAGGGATCATCAACAAGTTATCCTTTCTCTGCGCACACGGCCACCGGTCCCTTGGATACAAAGTCCACACATCCCAACCTGTACAACCAAAGGTTAACATGCTCGGTCTACCCCCGATGGTTAGTTTGTTAATAACTTAGTAGTCAGTAATAATAAACAAGTCCAAAGGCAAGAAAAACGAGGCACAGGTAGACAAAAAAACCAAAAACACACAGATAAAGTCTTTGCAATTAATAATTTATTACAGATCCATCTCTAGCGATTTGAGCACAAGTGCACCACGGAGTTGGTTCACTACATCCAAGAATGGAAAAGAATCTTTTTTTTTTATCCTACGTATTTGAGTCTATAACTTATGTTGCAAATGTCAAGTGTGCATCGTTTCATTGTAAAGTCGTCAACATGTGGTCTTTACAACCCTATTATACTTTTTCCTATATGTTTTATAAAACCCACTGTGGCTTTGATTGCAGGAGCCAACAAACAAATACCAGTTATGCGAACTCTTTGGAGTATTCGTTGGAAAACGGTCTCTTAAGGTTTTCAGTGTGAGAATTCTTTGTGGTCAAAATGCATGACCATGGTTTGTCATATTTGTTGCAAAGATACATTTAAAAAAAATGTAAAACATGAAGTAAACATACAGTTTTACTTTATGTGCAATGCATTACAAACGGTAACTAATCCTGTTTGCAAAAACACACAAGATCCTCAACATAGGTGGAAATGTTCATATTTACACAAGGCTTTTGATTTTCTTAATTACAACAAAATATCAGGGTCATGTTGAGGAAAAAACAAATTTGTAAATGACAAGAAATGAAGTCATAAGTTTAAGTGACACGTTTTGGGGGACATAACAGAAGACAGTTAACCATATCATTCAAATTAGAACGGTGGATCATCTTGTGAAGTTATGCTTTGATATTAGTTTCACATAGAGGAAGAAACGTATTCTTCTGGCACACAATATCAACATCACAAGAATCAGGACATGAGCATGACATTTTGCCTCTTCTGGGGGAAAACAATACACAGACCTGGAGAATTGACCTGTCTTTTATTTTATTACATACAAGTACAGCTTTATTGGTGAGACATGTGACTTAATTCTTGTTATACTATCCCCAAAATGTGGCCATAGTCCTCTGTCATAGCTTGTAATTAAGCATTGTTGTCATCTTTTTTTTCCTGAAGACTGTTGTTGTCTCTGCTGTCAGGAAACAGTATGTCCGGACTTCCCTTTGTGACTTTGAACGATGCTGCTCCTCAGGACATGAATGAGAGTCCAACAGTTTGTGTGGGATTACACCTGGCGTATCACCACAGGAACATACAACACGCCTATTTCCAAACAGGGCTTGTTACCTCAGAAAGAGCCTCCATGTTTGTTTTATCTCTTTCTGTAACCTCTCTTCTTTTCTCAGTTCACATGCTTGTCTCACAGGGCGGTGTCATGCTGTCGTCCAAAATGATGTGATTGATTTGTTTTTCTTCAGTCTGCTCTGTGTGCTTTGCTCCTCCTCCTCCTCCTTCTTGTCCTCTGTCCGCAGGCATAAGCTCCTGGGTGTAGTTAGTTCTGCTACCTGAGCAAATGTCAGACTGCTCATTGTGATCCCTTTCGTGGCGACTTAAGCTCGTGAGCTGTCCTTCACCTTTTAAGCCCTTGGCTGTTGAGCCCTCTCCTCCCCCTTGGGAGTATCTGGGGATGACAGATTGTAGAGTTGGAGATTGTTGGATTGGCAGTGAAGACCTTTCTTCCTTAGTTTTAGAGCTATGGGGTGGAGAAATCCCGGGTCCTGTCTTATCTGAGGGTAGTTGGGCAACTTTGACTGAGGTAGTGGGGGCAGAGGTTGCCGCAGGTGTCAACACAGACCTCAGCACGTCATCCTGAGATCCAATTAAGTCAACCTTGAGAGCTTTTCTTTTTTGAGGGTTGCTATAATCTAGCATTGAGCTGCAGTTGCCTCCATTTGCCCCCCCAAAGCTAGCAGCACTTTGTGGCACTGATCCCATGTCTCTGGTATGACTTCCTCTGGGGCTGGGCACAGAATCATACAAGCCTTCCGTGATGAGGGTCTCCAGCTGGCCGGTGTCAGAGCCCTTGGGCAACTCCATGGTACTAATCTGTCTTAGATCCAAAGAAGGGGGGATGTGCTGGTGTTTTCCTCGAGTCTTGTTTCCTTCAGTATTCAGCGGCTGCGAGCTTCTTTCTTCTTTGTCCAGTGAAGGGTTATCAGTCACATTGGAGAATTGCTCATAAAGGTTGATCCTGTGTGGACTTTGTCTGGCTGTGGTTGAGGGTATTGTTCTGGTTTCCATCTGCTCTTCTATGATTTTGTCCTGCTGTGTCTGGATGGTTGGTTTGTTAAAAGCCTCTTCCACTCTGTTTGCACCAGAGTTTTTAGAAGTTTTGTTTGAAGATAGCCTAGCTCTTTCCGGGGAGCCTTGCTGAGACACTTCTTGGTAATGAGATTGTGTTAACCTGCTCGGACTCCCCCCCTTGGCACTGCAGAAGTGTTTCTGATATTCACATCGGCCCAGCGAGCCTTGATTATCCACCGTACACTTGCTGTTTTCCACCAACACGTCTGTGAGTTCAATATTATGTGTAAACCCGTCTTTAAGATTAATTGAAACAATACTTCCACTCTTCCTTGCCCTATCAAGAGCTTCTCTTCTCCTAATGGCCTTCTCCTGTCTTTTCTGTTCCCTATAGAATTCAGAAAAGTTGTTGACAATGATTGGGATGGGGAGAGCAATAACCAGAACACCTGCTATACAGCAGAATCCTCCTACAATCTTACCCAGCAGAGTTTGAGGGTAGATATCTCCATAACCAACAGTTGTCATAGTAATTGTAGCCCACCAGAAAGAGGCGGGGATACTGGTGAATTTGGTGGCGTCCTCATCCTTCTCAGCAAAGAAGACCAAGCTAGAGAAGATCATAATACCCATAGCTAAGAAGAGGATGAGAAGACCCAACTCGTTATAGCTCCTTCTCAAGGTGAAGCCCAAGGACTGCAGTCCTGTGGAGTGCCTGGCCAACTTCAGTATCCTTAGGATCCTCATGATTCGGAAAATCTGGACCACACGGCGAACGTTTTGGAACTGCATTACATTTTTGTTTGACTCTGTTAGACAGAGGGTCAAGTAGTAAGGTATTATAGCTAGCAGGTCAATGATGTTCAGCGGTGCTTTAATAAAATCCCACTTGTTTGGTGCTGAGAGCAGACGCAGCACATACTCCATGGTGAACCATGCTACACACAAAGCTTCTACATGAGCCAGGCTGGGATTGTCATTGAACTGTCCAAATTCATCCACCACCTGCAGCTCCGGCAGGGTGTTGAGTGACAGTGAGATGGTAGAAATGACGATGACCAGGATGGAAATCATAGCCAGGATCTGTGAGATGAAGATTAGATCGTAGGTTAGAAATATTATTGGCTCCTACACACAGGAACTATATCTCTATATTTACCTTGACATATTAAAGATACGTCTCTGATTCACAGATGTCAGTAAGGAATCGTTATGATTTGTGAACGTACTCTTAAATCCTTACGTTGTTTTTTTTTTCCCTTCAAACCTTCAAAACCTATATTGTCTTTGTCACGCCCAGTGCAATAGCTCCTTGCCATCCCTAGGAGGTGCACCCCTCAATAAGTCTGATTTAACGTAAGCATAATTATCTCACTTCAGCAAATTGATCTCACTCAAGAATGATAATTGTGTTCAGACAGGCGGGAAATGCTAGCATTACCAGAGAGAGCTTCAAAACTAATGGATTCTGTTCCTTCTATTACATCATCAGGATGGAGTTTAGATACTACTGAATGAACACGCCCTAAGAAGGAAGTGAGAGGACGCATGTACTGTAAGACATGACAGCATTTTAGTTTCTAGACTCTGTTGTTGTGTCATTTTCTTTTTTTTCTTTCATCACTCGTGGTCATTTGTACTGTGTGCTCTGATCATTACCTTCGCACCCAAGGATGAGCTTGGCTTCTCCAGCAGATCCCAGAGCATTTGCCTTTTGTCTGGGCAGCAACCCTGCTCTTCCTCTTCCCCCTCATTGTCCCTTACGGTCTCCGCCTCTCTCCTCAGCTCCTCATTCATCTGCTCCTTCTTTTGGTGGTAACGTGCCTGACAACATGACTCTAGGTAGATCTCGTCGATACCCCAGTAGTCGAGCTCTTGGCCAAAGGACAGGGCACACATTTCCTCCATCATGTGCAGCTTTCCAGTTCTGTAGAAGTTGAGGATGGAGGAGAAGGCCATAGGGTGCCTGTCAAAGAAGTACTCGTTCTCAGCAAGGCTGTAGTCATCACAAACCTCGAGCACCGACTCGTGGGTAATGCAGTCTCTCAACCTCCCCAGTCGGGTTCTAGGCAGCCGGTCCAGTGTTCGCCAGAGTACCTCATGTGTTAGGCCTCCAACATTGACCTTTACCCGCCGAGAGCGGGTCTTAGTGCGGATGATGTCTATGGGCTCGGGTGGAAGCAAAGGAGATTGAGTGGGTGGGTTTTTGGGCGTGCTGAAGGCCACCCTGTCTGTCATGGTTGCTGTGTGTGAGGGTGTGACGTTATGTAAGGGTTGTTGGGAGTGTTTAAGGGTGTGTGGTGGGTTTGGAAGATGGTGGAGTAGAAAAGACTGCACTGGTCCACCAAATGGTTCAGACCAACTGGTTCCTGCTTCTATCCATATCTAAAAGAAAACAAAGAAACACAGGAGATTAGAGTGCCACATAGTGGAAGAAGTGGATGGATGCGGTCCTTGTCCTGCAGCAAATACAGGAGTCACTGGTTTGATCCCTGGATGTGTTAATTGTCATGGCTTCAGATAAATCTATCTAAAACAATATTTACACATGAATCCATATACAACAACTGAGGTTTAACAGCTGCTTCTGAGAACTTCCTGGGTTCTAGAAATTATAATCCCTTCCAGGTTGGTCTGTGGAAGCTTATGCTGCTCTTTTAAGTCCGTTGACTGTAGCAACACCTTTATCTGCTTGTGTAATAGAGGTTCAGAAATCCCAGAACAGCGGCATTAGACTTTGGCTTCCCTGGCTCAAGTCTGTCTTAGTTATTAATAGACCGTCTATCTCCTTCTTGGACAGTTTAAGACACAGGGGAAAGCTTTCAGCTTGTTTTTTCAGGGCTATAAACAGTAAAAAAGAATTTACTCTGTTCCTAAATCAACGTACATTTATATAATATACAAACCATGGAAACACTCTGTTTATTACTGATTTGAGAAAGAAAATTCACAGATAATTTTACATTATCCGTGATTTAATGACTAATTTCTCATTGTTTACACTGTCTAGAAACCAGTTCAACACTGTGAACACACAGTTTAGAAATTGTGTGTCAAGTGTTTATTTCTTATCTGCAGAAGGACTTGGGTTTAACCCAGGGATTAGAGGTTCAACAGGTACATCCTCATAAATACAGAGAGTTCATTAAAAGTATATTTACCCCAAAACCAACCTCTGTGTGAGGGGATGAAATTTGGCGTCAACAAGACTTTCAGGAGATGTCCACATAGCATCCACTTCGTTGTCCACACTGCTGCTGCTGCTGCTGCTGCTGCTGCTGCTGCAGCTCTCCTCCTGCCAATGATTTGCGAATCCTTCGGACAGAGCACAAACGGACAAAGATCCACATTTTGACAACAGAACCAGCAGGAAAAAAGAGGAGTTAATGTCCCGTGTGAGCATCAAGTAACGGGATAAACAAACACAGAGAGAAGGAAGGGAACCGGGTTTGCCCCCGAGAACTGAGAATAAGAGTAAAGAGCGTGACTGTGTGGGGGGAGAGAGAGAGAGAGAGAGAGTTGTAGAGAGATTAATAGATAGAAAAGAGAGTGAGAGAGAGAGAGAGAGAAGGGGTGGGGGGCAGGGGAGTGGGCGAAGGAGTGAGGAAGAAGGGGGTGGAGAAGGAGAAGAGTGGATTAAGGCATTCAGCACAACGGACAGCTCCTCAGAGACAGCTTGTTTCTACTTGACCGGTGATTCTTCTGCCTGTTTTCTTTTCTTTTCTCCTGTCTTTTCTCTGACCACCATGTTTTACTGGGCCCAGTCTGACACACGACGTCACTTGCATCTTCGTCATCAAATCTATCTTCTTGGTTTGATGACAATATCATTGTAGTATAAAACATCTATGACAAGTTTCATCACGATATCCTTGTCAAGTGTTCAGCTGGGTTTTTTATCTCACGTTTTTTCCTCCCTCAAAAATGTTTAAAAGTTTTACAGTCAGAGAAGAACGTTTAATCTTTAATATTTTTAATCAAGCATTAATTTTTGTTTTGTGAATATTTGTCCTGTTGATATGTTGAAAAAGAAAATAGAAGAAACGTAGAAACTTGAATTTCCTGAAACCAGGATGAAACTTTATTAGTTTAACAAAGTCCACAAACCTCCTCCTTTCATCTCCACATCTGGTATTGTTAAAATGTCTTCCTTTAGTCCTGCATCATAATAATAATAATACACCTTTAACATTAAGACATTACATTGACTGGTGTACATGCATAGTCAACAAAAAAAAAATTAACATGGAAATATTTCAAATGTAACATTGCATTACTACCAGAAATCTATTCATTAAAAAAACACTAAGAGGAGGTTAGACGAGCAGTCAACAGTTTTCATTTTTGAAAAAGAAATTTATTATTTTTAGTTCACAAATATTTGAACAAGGGCGGGAAATCATGACATTTTATTATTACACCTTGTATTTGGTAATATTCAAACACAAAGTCACACACACTTCTGTGACCACTTCACACATGATAGACATAATAATCAATTCCCTAGTCCCTTACCCTACCTTCAACCATAACAAATATATGCCCAAATCTTAATCCATACCCTAACTCTTATCTGACCCTAATTTGAATCCCAACTCTGAACTAAATCTTGAACTTCAACAACAGCGCCCCCCCCCCACCCAAAAAATCTACTTACAAGTGTACCTATACCACACACACGCGCGCGCACATACACACAATGTAAAATGGAGTGTAGTGGAAGTGGGTGGAACATATTATCATACAGTACATCAGACGTCTAGTGTGGGTCAAACACTGAAACAATGAACACCAACCTGAGCCGAGTACCAAAGCAGATTCATTACACGAGTGCATAAAGGTCTGCATACAAATGCTTTGAGCTGCGTGGATGGTTCAGTTAAGGAGCAGCAGGGAACAGACAAAGAGGGGAAAAAAAACACAACCTAATTATGTACATCCCAACTGCT